TGGCTGCCATGGACCAGCTGAACGCCGTGAAGCTGCAGCTGACAACCATTAAGAAGCTTATGGACACGAAGCCTGACGTGCAGGCGGTCGACGGTCCACCGGCGAAGCGGGCCCGTGTCGCCCTTGAGGATTTCAAATGTGACTTCGGCGCCAGCGAGGGCAAAGCGAACAAGTCTCTCAGCGGACAGCGCGTGCATACCGAGAAATGCTACAATGCGGTAATGGACATTGAGGACGCGTGGCGCAACGTCCTCGCGGCTCGGCCCGGCGAGGAACGCTTCAGGAACATCGAGGCCATGGAGATTGCCATCACCGACGGCAAGGCCGTGTTCCGGGGGGTCGCGAAGGAGCTGGTCGTTGCATACAACCACGGCTGGGAGGTCGTGCATGAGATGCGTGGCATGGCGTACGCGGAGACGGAGGAGGAGCGCAAGGCGCTGAAGCAGGCCGTGAAGGCGGTGGCGGGCAAGAAGCCCAAGCAGGCCAAACCCGCGAGCGTGCCGGCCGATGGCGGCGGCTGGTCAACAGCCTCCTGCCAACGTTGTTGATATGCCAATGGCCGACCAAGTTGGTGATGCTTCTTCTCCTCGTCTTCCTGTGCTGAAGGAGCCACCACCTGTCGGAGTTTTCGACATTACCGCGGAGGCGGCATCTAAGGCGCAGATGGCTTTAGGGGCCTACATTAACTTCGTAGTCATGCTTTTCCGGTCTGCATTCTTAATGTGTGGCTGGAAAGTTTCGGATCCTCATTCTCTTGCATGGATTAATTTCCATTTGGGCCCTCCTCAGCTCCTTGGCCACCTCCACTCCTGTGTTGCTGCTCTAACTCCTCCAGTCATTCCTTCTTTGGAGTGGCTTGAGAGCTGGCTCGTCGCTAATGTGTCTTCAACCACTGACAATCCTGACTACGTGGCGGCTGGGAACATTCTGGCGATGACTTCCAAGAATTTCCCGGGGCTCAACGACTTACTTAACTTCGTCCTTGAGCAACGCCGCGTCCTAACTACTCATATTTCCGATCACATGTGGATCCTTTTCATCTTCCACATGCTTCCAGACAGTCTACGTTCCATCCTTCAACTGCGGACTGACGGTAACAAGCTCGTCGAGTGGAGTAATCTTGATGAGTTTATGACGACTTGCCGTTGCAACGCGAAGCTCTACCGTCCTCGCGTTCCTGCATTCAACGCGGGCGCTTCTGGGTCAACACCTAATGCGCGTACTACTCCTCGTTCCTTCCGCTCGCCGAAGTCGCCTGCTATGCCAATAAAATCTTCGGCGCCTCGCAAGACTCCCATTCCTTCTCCTGCGATTTCTCGTCTTCCTGACAACGTACCTAACAATCGTCGTTTCGCGGATTACGAGCCCGGTCGCAAGCTCTTCATTAAGGGTTTAACCGCGGAGTCTTCTCGTCAGTTAAAGGTCCAGAAGAAGTGTTTGCTTTGCGGTAGTAAGAAACATATGGTTCCTACGTGCGACCTTCGCGCGAGTAAGTTCGCGTCTGGAGACTTCTTTTATTATGAGGATGCGTAGGAATTGTCGTCTTGCCTAGGCTTGGACATGCCTGTGTGTGACTCGTTAGTTGCACTTATGCAAGACTCTCCTCACAGCATTGAGCATAATGTACGTGATCGCGTTTCTGATGCGAGCTTGCGTAAGTAAGCTGGGTTAGTTGGGCGTAAGGCCCAATGCGTAACTGTTAGACTAACTGTTTCGCAACGGCCCGTGTCCTCAGGGCCGTCATTTATTGCGCGCATTAAGCTGGTTAGCTTATCTTGTTTTTGTTGTTCAGCGCGCGCTGATCAACAAAACAGGTCCCGCGCCTTCGGCGCGCTTTCTGTTACTATACCGCTGTGCCTTCGGCTCGTCAGCGAGACCCATCGGGTAGAGTGCAGTGGAGAATATAAAGCACTAGCACCATAGAGTTAGCCCACCTTATTGAAGCACCTTTAGTAGTGCTAGTGGCGGCGCATGTCCCGGAATCGCTAGGCATGACTCCGCTGGTGAAGGCAACTCACAGCTATCCTACATAGCTAACTGGAATGTCACAGACTGGCATTTCCTCGAGGGCTTCTGCGACGCAGTTTATGCCCCCTGCTTTCTCCGGAGCGGGTCAACAACTCCCGCCCACCCCGGACCCAACAAGCTTGCCCCTGCAGCTACAACACTAAATGTCCGCTTGACGACGTATTTCATCAAGCTCATCCCCCAGGTTTGGGCGCGACGCTGAAGGTTTGCTCTTCAGCGGATCAGGAATTCGACGTCCGACCCACACCGGTGGTGGCTATGTGTGCACTTCGTCCCATCCCTTCCGCGTGGCGACGGGCTCTACGACCCCAGGCGTGGAGTTTCCGGGGCAGCACGAGTAGTCCGATATGTCCACCACCTCCGTGCCCCTGCATGCTAGGGCCTCGGCGCGGCTGGCCGCTTGGAAGGCAATTGGAGCAGATGCGCGCACATTGCACGTCTTGAAGCATGGTGTCCCGGTGGAGTTTCGAGGTAACCGCCCCCCGCCTGCTTTTGACCTGCCAAGTTTTCCTGCTACAGACGAGCAGAGCCGTTGGTGGTTGGAGAAGGAGGAGCCTCGCCTGGTGGCGCTCGGGGCCATCTCGCGGGTAGACCCCTCCCGTGCGGTTGATCATGTGGTGAACGCCTTTTGTGTCCCGAAACCGGACAGTGGTTCTTGGCGTTTGGTCGTCAACCTGAAGAGGATGAACGTAGCGCAGAAAGCTTACAAGTGCCGGTATGAAACCCTCCGCACCCTGCGGCGTATGGGCCTCGAGGGCTCCTGGATGGTGAAGGTTGATTTGGCGGACGCCTTTTACCACATCCCTATTCGCCCAGATGATCGGCGTTTCTTCACTTTTCGTTTTTGTGGTGTTCTGTACGAGATGAACGCCCTGCCTATGGGGTGGCTAAATAGTCCGTATTGGTTTACGAAAATCATGCGCAATGTGGTGCGTTTTTGGCGGGATCCTTTGGCTGCGTCGGGTAAAGGTCGCAAGCGTCTCTCGCCCCCGCTCCCGCCCCACCAGTTTTTTCCCGTTTCCCGGACAGGGCGTCCTTCTCGTCCGGGTGCGCGAGTGCTGCCGTATTTGGATGACTTCCTCTTCGTGTTTAGTTCTGAGGAGCAAGCGCGTCTTGGTGCGCGCTGGGTGCGTGAGAGTATCGAGTTCTTGGGGTTGTCGTGTCACCCCACCAAGTGCCAGTGGGAGCCGTCGCAGTCAGTGTACCACTTAGGCATTACGATCAATACGGCAGCTGGTGTGTTTGAGGTGCCTAAGCAGAAGCTCGCCAAATTGCGGCGGCTGGCGATCGGGTTGCGGATCACGGCAAAGAAAAATCGGCGTCTTGTCCAGAAGCGTGAGCTGGCTAAGTTTTGTGTTT